TTACAGACACTGTCTAATTTATCTGTGTCAAGCCTACAAACGGACGTATCCCTTTCTGCACTGTTCGATAAGTCTTTTTTACATAAAGAACATTTATTCATTACAATATTAGCACAACAACTATCATTAATCCACCGTTGAATAGAAATACTAACGACTGATTCGTTTAACTGATTTTTGTTCTCTTTCAGAATCTTTATACACTGCTGATTTCTCTTGGCATGCCTACTGAGAGCACTGAGACGATTAAAACTGAGTCGTACTCTGACATCTTTAGTTAAATGATTGTGTGCACAGTTATAATATTGAAGTCCGATTTCTTTTATCTACAACATTAGTATTGATTTTTAATACATCTCACAAACCCAGAAAATCTTGTTATATTACTACCCACCAAATTGTAATTGTAATTTTCGAGGTGAAAAGGATTACGAGGCGTGAAGAGAAAAAGTACAGGCCCCTCTTTCAGATATGGTGCTAAAGTGAATGCTTTTACCCCAGGAGGCTGTAGCCATAGTGTTGGTTGATGAACAGAGTTCCTGACCCAATTTAATATATTTTCGGAAGTCCATTCAGAATCTTCTGGATAACTCTGAACATTTGAATTCTCAAACTCATTTAATCATCTTATATATACAAATGTTTCTGCTTTATATGTCACATATAGATTTATGTTATTGTTTATATGTATGTACAAGTACAAGAGATTTTCATCTACTTACAAGGGTTTCATTCCACATGAGTAAATTCGCTGATGGAAATTTATAAACATTATGATCTCTTTTGCTAGCTAATGCACTGGTAACAATAGCAAATACCAATTCCCTGTTAGGATCAATTTCTAGATTACGAATAGCAGCCTTATGAAATTCTCTGTAACCAGGTGTTCTGTCTAACCTTGTAAAATTAAAAAATCCTACCACTACAGCCTGCAATAATAGACACATATAGTTATTTATTTTATGTAAAGTAATTCAGAAGTATTAATTACTACTATATATTTACATCATAATTAACAGTTAAGTCCATTAATTGATCCGGATGAGTGATTCTAACAATCGGATTCATCACTGCATGAAGAAAACCAATCATGTATTGCGAAGTACGAATACCTTTGTATGTTAAACCAGATTCTCTTGATGGATAAAGTATTAAGAGAGGATATTTTTGAATTTTATATTGGGCTCTACATTCTGAGCTTGGATGCCAACAATTGATAGCAGCGAAAGACACCTAGAACAAAAATCATCTTTAACAACCACCATATCTATACGATACACTTAAAATTACAAGAATTTCAAATACCTGTGTATTATAATACTGAGCAACTTTTTCGAATTCTGGACGCACCGCTTGACTGTCAGCGTCCCATGGAGCATAGTACATAACAAAACTAAAATCAGACTCACGAAATTTCTCTATCACAGCTCCAACGTGACCTTTATAAAAATCTAGCACGATAGAACTATGGTTAAAAAATGGCTTGGCTGTAGGTGGCTTTGACACTTTAGGTGATCTAAAAATACAAACAAACAATAAGATAAAAACATTCAGTTTTTATTACTATACAATATTCATTTCCTATGATATTTTTAAGTTGCAAAACATCTGTCTCAACATATCAACGAATTGGACATCTCGTTGTTGTAGGTGGTCAAAGTAATGTTACTTTGAATCACAGTAAATGGATAATGAAGGATTTAAACATAACCTATAACTTACGAGCTGTGGAGTGCAGTTAGGGCGGTGAAGGTAACCGCAAGGAAAAAACAGATTTCCCTTGCATATGAAAACATTTTGTTGGCCAACCTCTCTTCTATCACAAGCCTCTGGTTCGACTCCTTGGCCACGTCGTTACTTCCTGAGTCCGGTACAATTATGTACGAGTTATCAGCATTTCTCGGCGTGCTTGCCTCCAGCTCTTCCTTCAACATTATCCGTGATAACCAAAAGGAAATTAAGGGAGGAGAATGACCACGCGTTAAAACTTCATCACACTCTGCTCATTTACTCTGGCTCGTTGGTCGAACCCGCTGCTTATTTAATTAAAAGTACCTAATTAGCCGGGTTTTTCGTGGTTCTCTATTGAGCCACCTGTATTTTCATAGACCGGAAACAGCTGACCGCTTGACAACATATCGTCCGTACAGAACACAAGAAAATAACATCGGATTGGACTTCTCCCGAATTGCGGGAAACTGCAGAGAATGGTTGCAAACTAATGCCAGTGAAGTGTAACAATCAGTGATCGTCAATCAAAAATCAAATTCATTAAAAAGTATAATATATTTAAATCTGTATCCGTAAAATTATTGAACTACAATTTCTTTTTTAAATCAGTTACTATTTGTGTTATTATTTATATGAATGTAAGCTAACATTGAGCACCACTGATAACTTTTGTACAGCATAGAAGTACTTCATAATTATCAAATTTACAATGAAAAATTTATGTAGTTACTGTGCTCAACTGTGGTTTTGATAAATTGAAGTTAGTGTAAAGAAATAGCATGAAGAGTTTGTTAATTTTTATACCAAACAAACTTTGCAAAGAACAATCAGGGTACCTATTTGGCAAAGTATTGTACGATGACAACACAGGAGTAAAAAAATTTTATGTTATTGGAATAAGTAGAATAGACAATATAGAAACAATAAAATGTAATACTAATATAATTGGATATTATTCTGGGATGGAACAGAAACGTGGTTTCGTAGATAAAAAATATATAGATTGGATACATATATTTTTACGCACTGGTTCTAATAAACAAAATAATTATGATTATGGTATAAAGCGCATTACTATAAATAATAAAAAGATTTCAACCATATATTGTCATACAGTAATTATAATATACGACCAAACAGCCCTCAAAGAGACAGAACTGTTCGATCAAAAAGCTACATCAGGAGATCATTTTTACGAGTTGATGAAGATCGTACAAAACAAGCAAGTAGAAGGAGAATTACAGAAGAAAGGAAAATTTACCTACATAAAAGAAACTCTATTGGTCTACCATATGTTTCTATATTTTTATCCAATTCTGTTCCTTAATAAAATTACAAATAAATTGTTACCAATTTTTAAATATTCTTTTCTTGGTTTACATGTTCATGGATGGTTGGAAAATGTTAAATGGATGCTAATTACTGTGATAAAAAATAAGAGGTTTACATTGAAGACTGGTAATTATGTATTTGCACTAATAATAGATATGTTATTAGGAATATTTGTATTGCAATTGTTATTACACTATCTGGAATATACATCTCCATCTCAAATACTTTTGAATAATGCAGAGGCAAGTTCAAAATTTAATGTAATAATATCAATAGTGATACATGATATTTCATTCAACAGCTAAGCACATACATCTTTTCTAGAAAGTTGTGACATTACTCAAGGATTTAATAAACTGGTTAATGGGCGTACCAGCTGGATTAAAATTAAATCATGCTTTGAATAATATGCTTGGAAAATTTTTTCAGTATCACATACATTTGTGGTGGACGTTCTTGATATTTATGAAACCTGTAATGGATTTTGCTTTTGAAGTGTTAGTATTATTTGGAAGACTGGGCATTACATTTCAAATAGCAATAGCAGCAGATCTGCTAGCTCTTGTTAGTTTTCATACATATTGCATTTATGTGTATGCAACAAGGTAATAAAATATGATATTTAAGAGGCAAATGGATTATTAACTACATTTCTGTACTAGGTTGTTCAATGTTCAATTGAAAGGCATCACAGGATTAGTCAGACTATTTTTAGGCAAAAAAAAGAATCCATTACGAGAGAGAATTGACTCCTGTCAATACCAGCCAGATCAATTATTTGTAGGGACATTATTGTTTACAATACTTCTGTTCCTTATGCCAACAACATGGGTGTATTATGCAGTTTTCACTACGGTACGCAAGTATATGTTATCATAAGTATAATAATTATAAGGTATATAATGACTATTTATTACAGCTCAGATTAGCACTGATTAGTTTTGGAGGTTTCCTAACTAGAATGAAATTTTATCTTCAAATTATACCTGTGTATACATTTTTCAAATGGTTTCTGCATTCTTACAGTACACGTAGTAAGTAAAATATCTTGTAGATAATTCATTTGTTATTCTATTTTTACTTAACATCATAATATATTAACACCTTTTTCTTTATTTAGGTACTGTAAATATTAAGTTACATTCTCACCCTGCTATTGGACCAATTATATTAATAATGACAATGGTTACTGCACCATGGCAATATACATGGAATAAATGTATGCCAGATACAATTACTCAACATCCTCCTATCGAATGGAATAAGATAACAAAAAATATAATATGGGGTGAATTGTTATATCCCTTGTAATTATTTATTTATAACTTTTTATAATATAATAAAGGTTCATTTCTGTAATAAATTTCTAATGTAAACTACATGTTTTTCCTGTATGCAGATAATTGTTTCTCCTGCTGCAGTTTAAGTCCATATAAAAACTCTTTCGCTTCAGGACTCATACCATCAGTAAGTTTTTGATCAATATCATTTTCTTCTCTAAGGATACCGAAGTAAATAAGAAAAAGAGCAAGACTTGTCATTATAATTAATGTTTGATAACGTGGTATGTCTGGGCCCTTAGTACCTGTACCGCAAGCAGGCCAATTTGCTGCTTCAGAAGTTGAATACTTTACAGGTTTATCATAATCGTCATCATCACACTTCTTACTTTTAGCATTGGTACTATATTTCATAGTATAATGCATATGTGAAGTGGCAGACCTAAAATATATTATTTCGTTAAATGTTTCTATCTTAAGAAGATGTCTCATAACCTTATTCCTATGTTTTCTTAAAATATAATGAAACGAAAAATCGTTACGCATTTTTATTTGCACTCACTACAACATACCTATATAATAACGCCTGCCCATTTTTAATTTGTGATATAGATTTAATAATTTCTTTACACAACATTCTTAAATAATCCGTTCAACACTTCGTGTAGTTTGTGATGATGAAAAACTGTCTGCTACGTACAAGAAGTTAGGTATACATCTATACTTAACGATATACTCTATAAGCAGTTATATTTTGCATTAAATTTATTTAACACTTAAGTAACACCCTCTTATCGAAGATTAAATTACTGTTATCTTTAGTAATTTTTCTTAATAAATAATTATTTCTTTCCAATTCTTGTCTTTTTAAAGTTCTTATTCTTATTTCTTCAGCATCATAGGTTTACACATCCACATGTACCGTAAGTACGTGCGGCGGTAATCAATTTTAAAAGTGGATAGAAATTCCGTATATTTTCTTAGAAATATCAATCAATTTTCAAAAGATAATAGTGTCAAATTATTTACTCTAACGTTGCAAATTTGTTGTTACATTCTCACATAAAATACTTTAGTGTTTCGTGCATGCGATGGGATCTGATGACACGTCAGAAGTTGAGGTTAAAAACCCGAAGTTACGAAAAAGGATGAAAAAAAGGGATAAATTAGAAGGTGAACATTCAAAAATTTTCGTTTATGTTTGATAATATTTTATCTATCATACTCTACAAATGACACTAATGTTCTTTCGAATTATTTGTCAAATTAAGTATCACTGATGTAACATCTAACGCACAATGCAAAAAATATATTTTCTTCTACATTTTGAACGTTAAATAAATGAAATTATATTGTAGATACATCAGACAATAATATTGAACAAGTACAGGAAAATAATGAAGAAAAGGTAACTCAGAAAAGGAAAAGGAAAAGGAAACAAAAATCAAATAACAGCCATAATGTAAATGGTACTAACAATGAGAGGAGTAATGAAGAAGAAAATAATTTTGTTGGGGTAACAAATAAGAATGAGGGAGATTCAGATAATAAAGTGAACTCTTCAAAAAAGCTCCAAAGATCAACGTAAATTGTTTACATTGTTATTTCAGAATTTTAAATTTTTGTTATTTTTTTAAGAACTTCTTTTCTTACAGTACTTTAAACAATGATAGTGATCTAGACAATATAGAAGCTGATGAAAGTGAGGTAAAAAAACCAAAGCAACCTTCTAAGAGGCAACTAAAGAGGGAAAAAGCTGAAAGGAAAGAAAATGAAAAAAAGGAGGCCACCAGATTGGAAGCAATGAAAAAGGGATTGAACTATGTATCAAAGGTATTTCAGAAAAGTCTGGAGTTTAAACTGATCTTAAAAAAGAATGTGTGTATCGTAATTGTATGAATTCTTCTTTATAGTGGAAACACGCAAGAAGTGAATGGAAATTTGAAAAGCTGAGACAGATTTGGTTAATAGATAACCTGTTAGATGAAACTTGCATTCCAGATGAGATTTTTCCAACGGTTCTAGAATATTTTGAAGGGTGCAAAGGTATGGCAAGGGAACAACTTCTAAAAAAGGGCATGGATGTCATAAAGAAAATAGAGGAGAACGAGGAGAATAAGGACGAAATGGAAACTGTTGCTTACCAAAGGGCAAGACAGCTTTTGCAAGCTTTACCTACTGAAACATAATTAGCTCAAGAATATACTCGAAACTTGTCAGATCATTTTGTACTTCATATTGATTACTACTAGGTGTACTAGCAAAATTAAATGTTAAATATTGTATTTTAGAACTTTTTTAAATTGTTTGCAAATTTTTTTTATCGTGCAATGAATCTTAGAAACATATTTATACAAACTTTCTTTATATCATAGCAATCACACGTTTCCATCATAAATCCATAAATTTTGTTGTATATGTAATTGTATTAAGTATTTGTAAATAATAAAATTTATCAGTTTATTACATGCAACAGATTTATTTAACAATTCAATGATTTTCTATAAATTAACAATGTACAAAGTTAAGGTCTACACCCTTCAAAGGTTGTACTTCATACTTGTCAATAGGAAATACCCTTGTACAAAATAATATACAAGTATTTTACTGACTACAGGATATCTCAATAGTGAACTGTAATCAGCATACATTATCTACAAACTGCTTAAGTTTATCTACATCCTGAAGACCAACAATTCGGTCTAAAACTTTTCCATCCTTCATAGCTATTAATACTGGTACGGATCCAACCTGTGTACAAGCACGTTTTTCAGAGAGTAACTTACAAAGTAGAAATAATTTAACTTATAAGATTTACATGTATTATTCTTAAGTTAATATCATAAACAAACTGTTTTCACTCTTTGAATTGAAAAGCTGACCTCATAATCCAAAGCTAGATCACTGTTCTCGTCTATATCAACTTTTGCCAGCAGAACTTTTCCTTGCTTCTCTGCGATTACCGACTCTATACGCGGTGTAAGCATGCGGCATGGATTGCACCATCTGCAATAGGAATTGCATACGTTAGATTATCGTTTGTTTAAAGGGATTGACAATGAAAAACAATGTTCACATACGTCGCAAAGAAGTCAACGATCACAGGCACCTTAGCATTTTTTACACGATCGTCAAAATCTTTTACATCCTGAACTTTAAAGGCTGTTGAAACCGTTTGTTTTTGAGCTGGTGCGTTTGCGTAAGTTCTGCTTCCTAAAGCGCTACGCACCACGTTCCTAATTCCGACACGTAACATTGTTTTTGACGTTTTATCAGCACACAATGGTCGCAATAAATAATATTAAAACTGACAAATCAGCGATCATAAACGTTTAATAAAACGTCGTAATACACAATGCGCTTTGATCTAACCTATCCTTACAGAGCTACACTGCGGATAAGGTAGACCTCATCATTACGGATTAGACGCACTAGAACCAACATTACATAGTAAAAATAAACTTCTCTAGATTTATCCTTTCCGCGAAATCAACACAAACAGATTTTTATATGAAATGTTTAAATAAAATTTGAGATCAAATTCTGTATAAAATAAAAATGAGAATGTACAAAATAGAATCAAGTCAATTCAAAAAAATTAATGGAACCCTAAATGCGCGAAACGGAGTCAAAACGGATATGGACAGAATAAAAATAGAACTTGAAACAGTAAAACTGAATAGGAACAAGAAATGGTACAATTATACCGGAAGTCGAAACAAAATAATTCTCATCATTTTCAAGAAAACAATCCGAATATAAACATGTCTGTCTGCGTATGGAGGAACCGAATGGACTCCAAGGACCTAAAATCAAAAGTGTTCGACCACTGACTCACTTTCGTTTTTGACGACTCGAATACCAACTCCGAACCTTAACGACCGTGTTGCAATCCTTCGGACATGCGTCACGCATCGGAACACCTAAGGGCGACGTATTGTCTACACCCGGAAACCCATTTGCGACGCATTAAAAGCATTATCGACCGAGTTACTACAGGAACCTCTATGGCCAGCTAACTAAAGACGTTACCTCGCGCGTTTAATTATGCTGCCAAAGCGGCCGTGAAGCGAATATTGCCGTGAGAATTGTGACACTCGTTTCTATAGTTACCGTATGAATTTTATTCGTTTCAATTCGAATAAACTGAAAGGTAACGTTCTCATCCGCATACAACTACCACTACTACTACATTCATAGCTCTCCTATCACGAGGCAATTGTTGGGCAAATTAGTTTGTTGCATCGATTGCTACCACTGTGCATAATAAAGCTGACCGTAGCCCATTCATTATCGTCTATTATTGGATTCACGACTAATGATGTAACTCGATGACGAGTAGTTACAAGCCAGGTACACCGAACGTTTTCGTTGGCCGAATTGTATGGCGGTTTAATTACCAAATTGAATTATTTGGACGACGAGTTTCGCGCCTAGTGTAACGAACTGCCTTGCATGCCCGTTAATAGCTTCTATGCAGCGTCGAAACGAATTTCAATAGCACCAATACATTTCCTAAACGGTGCCGTTAATCAACTAATTGGTACCGATTTTTTTCCGCCGATTCGAACATCGTCTTTCTTACTTAACCTTTGCACTCGAGGGCTCCGTTGCAGAGCCATTTAAAATTTGTCATTACAAACTGTACAATTTTGTCATTAAATATATTATAACATTTATATTTACAATCGATAGAAAACAGTAAAATCTATGACTTTTATTTTCGTGCGCGTATTATTTATTTATATGTTAATACGCTTTTTCTATTAAAATTACTTCGAGTTGTTGGTAATGTCAGTGAGAAGCTTCGAGTACAAAGAGTCAACACGTTGAATGTTGCACAATTTCATACAGCAAAATACGAAATGGAAAAGATATAATATTAAATCATTCGTTTGAATTGCATTATTATTATTGCATGTTGCCATAGCTGAATGGCACCGCATTAGATAGCATTATTTATAATATAGAAATGTTTTAAAATAACCATCTAACCCTTCGCCATAAATGAGAAGAATTTTTGATTAATTTAACAAAAATCAATGTTGTTCATTGCCCACGGATCAAAGCAAACAACTATTTTGCTATTATCAATGTATCACCTTCAAATGAAATTTCCGCTTAAAGTAAAATGGAAAGTTTTGCTGTTTTTCTTCCAAATTTCCGTGAGCTTAGCAGGGAAAATAAATAATACGTCAAGGGATTAACTGAGTGATGTCCGGCAGCATTTATTTGTTTTCCAAGTCGCTGTCTTCCATCCTTCATCATCGGCGTTACGTAAAAAGAAAACACGTTGCATAACTTCCTGTTTCCTCCGTGACGCAGGACACCTGTAAAACCACAAGGAGAATTAGAGGGAACGTTAGCTACCGGGCGCCGATGAAAATGATCCTCGCTGATCCGATCAGAGCTTAATTAAATCAAAGGGCGCGGATCACGTGCCAGGCGGTCTCTTCCGTTACATTCGAAAGTGACGCGGAAAATAACAGCGAGATATCCGCGCGCGACAACGGAAAGAGATCGATCCTAACGATTTTCACCGTTCAATGACGATTCGACGCGCGAGGCTTGTTCGTCTGGCTTCGTTAATTCCATTTCGACGTTACGTGGAATGAAAATCTGTTGCGCAAGCGGAGTCCCTGTTTCCATGACAGGGCGTACTTAGGAAAATAACAGATTTTCACCGTGGGAAAGCCGCTGTGCGTCCGACGAGAGAACAATCGCGTCCTCCCTTTCTTAAAACAATGTCACGACACGCGCCGAGGAAGAAGCGGTCGTGTGGTAATACATAACGCGGAAACAAAAGCAGTCGTATTCCTTGCGCGTAGGAAACACTAGTTGGAATATATCTGCGCGTCGTAATTAATAGATGTTAACACTTGCGTGTTACCATGTTTCAGTATCTCTATCTTTCGCTGCTAATGCACGTATTAATCATAGGCTGTCGACTAATGAAGACGAAACGCATCAATATAGTACCGGCTGCTTGACCCTTTGACCGTGGAATTTTTTCGCGCGAGTCGACATGCCACGCGAATTTTTTTGCAATTCAATCCTCTTTAATTGAACTGTTCTTTCTCCTTGACATAATTGTCCTTTTACATGATTCGTTCTCTAAGGGAAGAGAATGTTTATGTTTAATAGATATAATAGAGGAGATAATCTACGAACACAACACTAGAACTACCAACTTAATACGTTCCGTGCCACGGAAATTTCGGACATATTTTGCTTATGAACTGTATTGATTTTTTAAATAAAATATTAACCCTTTGAACTCTGTAAGCTCCAATATTGCACCAGTTACAATGCTAAATATTTTAATGAATGTTAAAGAAACTACCCTAAAATTATTCGATTTTCCACACATCCAAATTTTGTACTAAGAAGAAAAATAAATGATCGAAGGAATGTTATAGCATTTCTCAATTTCGCTAGGAATACTATAAAAATTAGTCGCAGTTGCTGATAGATTACAAAACGACCTGGAGTGCTAAGGGTTAAGTTATATTAAAGTTATTTTTTAATTTTATATATTTTGATATCGTTCCTTGATGTTTTCGGTGCTTTGTAACGTATACAGCTATTCTTGACCATGTGTCACTTAAAAATATTTTGTTACAAAAATTAACGTGTACCACACGTGACCCCCATGGTCACCGGTGACCTCAACCAAATCGAATTACTGTAGTTCATTCAATTAAACGGCGATTATTTGAAGACATTTGTATGTTACGAAAAATGCTACCTAATGCGGCGACATTAAGTAAGATGAGCGCGCAATAATAATAATGCGATTCAATCGAATGATTTAATATTATATCTTTTCCATTTTCTGTATTTTGTTCTATGATATCGTGCAGCGTTCAACGTGTTAACCCTTTGAACTCTATAGGCCCCAATATTGCACCAGTTCTAATATTAACAGATTGTTGACCGGCAATTTTACGCAAAAGCCATCCCATGTCACAGGTTATTATTCTGTAATCAAGTATGAAACAATCTAAATAAACTTCAACATACTTTATTTATAAATAATGAATTGAAATTAAACTTACAGCATATCTTGTATATACATGTGGTACACGTGACACTGAACACGTTAAACCGACTTTTCCAAATTTCTTTATAAAACTTCTGTGTATTTATTATTTCTATTGGCTTGTATTTCAGTAGAAGTATTACTAAATCAACTTCTTCAACGATTTCTCACAGAAGCATCGGTACATTTTCCGTAATTGTAACAAAGAAATCAGGAATGGGTCACTTTGAAGCATTTGTCAGTTCTGGTGTTAAATAGACATTTCATCGAACGCACCGTATGGCGACTGTCCCTGTTAACCCTCTGTAGGCCCATGTAACTTTGAAGTCACATGTTAGTATATTGGAACCTTGTTGATTTATTTCATTTTGCACTCAAAGTGGCGAGTAAAATTAAGTAATCAGTTAACTTAAACTTTTATACGCTCAGGCGTGAAAGTTTAACGTCATTGTAACTTGAAAGTTACAAAATATACTCGTTTGATGAAATTACTGAAACTATTGAATACATTGTTAATTCGTATTCGTATGTGGATATTTATTAATTTTGTACTGCATAGATTTTGCTATAATCACGTAAAAACATTCAGCCCATACAGGGTTAACACATTGTTGACCGGTCACGAGTAAATTCGTGTTTGCACTTGCATTAACCATTTCAACTTTGAAACACAGCGCGAAATAGAATATTGCGAGAGCAAAATATTCAAAGTCATAAAAATATGTCCAAAGTTTCATTACGTACAAATAAAATATATCGAAGTTTATTTAGATTGTTTCACTTTTATATTTCATTACGGAATAACATTCGGTGACATGGAATAGCCTCTGCGTAAAATTGCCGGTCAACAAAGTGTTAAGGGGTGGAGCGTTAATTAACTTAACAAGAAATCGATCGCGTGTTCGATGCAGTTCAATAAATAGAAATACACCGAACCCATGGAACTACTATTAATCTATTGTACATCGATCTACAGAACAGAACAAATAGAAAGAGGAAAATTGAATTGCACATACACGCGTGTAACGCGTGTACAGGAAGGTGTAAACAAATGCTTCCTTCCTTTAAGCTCGCAATTTAGCCGATTAATTAATTGAAATAAATGCAACGCGTTTCGTAACGCATCCTCGGAACGTAACGATGAAGTGGGTGATAATGGAAACGAAAGTCCGTTACGTGTTACCACTTTGTTCGTCGCGCGCGCGAGTGCTACAAAAGTGGCAAGCTTGTTCCGCGGATCTTCACCTCTTGCCCTATGACATCCTTCTCAACTGTACTTGACAAACCAACTTTGTCATTAGTTTAAGTTGATTATTGATATTGATATGTGACTTCAAAGTCACACGGGCCTATAGAGAGTTAATAAGATTTAATAGTTATCTAATTAGATTACAAATATTATGTTATCGCAAAAGAAATATCAAAAAATAACATTCATTCAAATTAATTTACTTTGATTTATTTCTCGAAAAATATAGTAAGAAAATTATAATAGATACTGACAAACAGAAGCACTATGGCGCTCTTCGCAATTTTGGCACAACACAAGAGCGCTATAGTGCTCCTCAGCACTCGAACGGTTAAGATATCAATAATTCCAAAACAAAACAATCGAAACCAGTCATTTTTGTTAAGGGGTTATGTGAAATAAAAAAATACACGCGTAGAGTATGTCAGAGTAATGGTTATATTTATAAAGAGATGTTAAGCAGTGAAGAAACTATTGGTAGAACTCGGTGGTTACAAGACGGGCGGACAGTTAGAACTAGCTAAGGAAAAAACTGCCACGACAGTACATGCGTCTATACCTGCAGTACTCGCAGGCCCCAGACCCTAATTAACCAATAACTGCAAAGGATGTGTGGTTTTCCAAAAAACGGTATAAGCATGGTCAATGCTTTAACTTCAACAATTTTGACTGGCATTTGACTAGTTCCAGTGTTAATCAT